AGGAGATGTAAATTTTTGCTTAACCTCAAGTTAATTGAATTTATAATCTTCGATGCTTTTCCACACGTAAATAAGTATAAGTAATTATGAGCAGTGCGGTATTATGCCACTAAGCGCAACACGTGCATGTACCTATCTCTAGCCATAAATGGAAGTCCTAAAGAATATAATTAAGTCAATTAAAAGATAAGAAAAAAAAAGATATATTATCTGTCATTTTTAAGAGCGACTTATCTGGACACGGGAATTAGAAAAGTATATAATCTAACCTTAACTCATTCAACTAAACAAAGTACTCCTAGAATCTGATTTAATGTAGATTATTATACATAAGTCATAATAACAATATAACTCAGTCCTATCTACCCTAAATATAATAAAAGAATGTGTAAAATAAAATTAATTATTTAACAAATGAAGATAGAGACTAGGAACGGCTAAATATTGGTAATGTTCCAGAAGTGGCCAAATCATAAAATAGGCAATAAATACATTGGCAATGCGGGAACATATTTTAAAAACAGAATCAGCGAAAAAATACTCCAAATGCATGTACTCGAGTTAAGATGCCCGAAACATAATGTGTATCCCTCATTGATTTTTGATTTTTATCTTTTATCGCTGCCCTATACTATGTATTAATAAATCTATCCTATATATTACTCATGTTGAGTGAAGACCGCCCATCCAATGCATGAATGATGCTAGCTTAACTCCTTCTTAAATGTAATAAAATAGTAATAAAATAATTCAGAGAATTTATTATACGTATTGCTGCATCATAAAATATTAAAAAAAATGAAATTAATAAAATTTTATAATACAAATAATTAGTTTATATGATTAGTTTCATTTGGGACTTTTTTTACTGCTCTTTAAAAACTTTTAGTACATTTTTTTTTTGAATATAGAAATTTTTGTTAAAAAAAATGTTTTAGAAAAATAATAAGAAAGCTATCCAGAACAAAGCCTTAATCATTCAGAAGTTAGACAGAAGAATAGTCAAAACCTCTCATACACTATTGAAAAAATTAGTATCTTGCATTTTCAGAGCTTCATTACTATCATGAACAGTAATATGTGCGAGGTGTAAGTAGTAGATTTCTCTAAAACAGATCTTATATAAGAATAGAATTAATAGATAAGGACGAATGATTCAAATACAAATAATAATTAAATTAATATCAATATTAAACTGCAAAAAATACAATATCATCATCATATAGCCCATTATCTTTATAGGTATGTAGGAAGATAAAAAAACTATTAACCCATATGGTAGGAAGTGATCAACTTACCAATATAACTGTGTAAAATAAAGGACGTAAGAAAAAGCAATAAAAAAATAGTGCGAAGTAGTATATAAAAAACTAAGTAATAATAATAATAATATATATTTTTTTATTTAAAATAATTTTTTTTCAAACAATAATATCTTGGAATACCAAATAAATTTTAGCAACTATTCCTTATATGAGTAAAGAACACCATCTCTTAAATATCATAAGACACCACAATAACTGTCTTTTTTGTCCAACACATAAACGGAAACAATCAAGAGTGGGAATCTGAGATATCATGCTAGAACTCTCATAAAATTTGGTCGCAATTAACCCTCTTTTTATAGTAGTTTTATATAATACTTCTTTAACATGAAATTACAAAAATAAAAATATATACGAAGAATTATCATAATTGTTAAAAATTTATTAACCCTAACCTCTAATCTCATCTATATTAACTGATACTATACTATTGTAATTAGACCAAGCACAACCATTTTAAAAGGTAAACACTTTTTTTCATATTTTAATCTATACTTTACATCTTATATTACTTATATGAAAAAATAATGGAATTTAAATATTAAAACTTATAATATTGATAAGTAATAATTTTGAATTATCCAGTCCCTGCAAGATTCGCAACAAAGGGAGGCGAGGCATCAAATCAAGAGAAGCCATTCACATCTTGACACGATAACCCATATAGGTCATATAGGGCCCACTTGACCTAATTACCAATGTACTTAATTCTCCTCCAACCAGGGACAGATTGAAGGGGTAGCGGCGCACCAATTTAAAAGCACCAACTTCCAACGGCTACTAAATAACCTCCACAGTGTTATAGCTTATAAGGGTATAAAAACTAATAAATTCAAGATAAAAAGTGCACCCAACCCCCCAATTATTTTTCCCACTTAATTGCACTTCTTCTGTCAAATCACTCTCACCTCAAATGAATATGAAAAAATAAAATATTCTAATTAAATTTTTATTAAAATTATTAAAAAAATAAATATAATTTTTCAAATGACATATTATTTTAAAATAAATTTATTTTTTTAGATTCATTTTTACTATTTTTTTTAAGAATTTTCTAAAATAGAGTTTTGATGTAATTGCGCGTGATTAGATTTGGGCTATCGATGGGGCTAAGGTGTCGCACTCTATAATTTTTTTGCCTGACTCCTCTTCTTATGTGTACCAATAAATAAAATATTTTATAAAATATATAGTTTTTTTTTTACAAAATATAAAAAATCTTCACTCACAAATATGTTATTTATCTATTTTTTATCTTATTTTATGTTGTATTTAATATTTCCTTTTGTAAACTTCTATTTTTTAAAACTTTGGCCAAAATATTTTATTTCAACATAAAATGTATTATTTTTAATATGTAAATCAAAGAAGAAAAATACGTACAATTAGAATTTTATATGAATTTGATTAAATATATAATGGGGTGATGTAAATTTAATTGCAAATATTTTCAAAGGGGGCATCAAGCAATAATATTGATAAACAAAGTGATAGTATTTCTCTATCATTGTGCTACTTCCCAAATGATAGTTTTTGCATAAGATTGTATATATACTTATTATTTGTAGAGTTAGGGTGTAAATGGGTTCAATCAAAACTAAGCTATCACTGCCTTAAGATTGAGCTTGATTAGTAGGGTTTCAGCTCAAGCTCGATTCTATAGAATTTGATCGAATCGATTCGTCACAAGTTATCTCATTTATTAAGAAAGAGCGAAACATAATTGAATTTTTTTTTTTTAAAATAACGAGAAATGGATAAATAAATTAAGATAAAAAAAGAGTTTTTAACTATTTTTAGCAATATCATATTTCAATTGTATGTTTTCATATATTTTAAATATATTATATATCAATTTTTTTATATGAATTAATTTATGAGTCCTAACTAACTCAAATTTAACACATTAATTCATCAAAATCAACTTAATTATAATTAATTTAATTTGTTAATTAAAAATTTCCCCTTTATTTTGTACTAACCATAAGCACCAATTTTGATCATGTGAATTGTCAGAGTCCTATTGCAATAGATTTGTACAGTAGGGGAGAAAAAAAAGAATAGTAATTAATTAAATTGGGATGGAAAGTGATGAGGGAGGCATTTGTAGGGATTTTACTCACCATTTGTCAAAAATATTGCACATGTCCCTATTAATACCTAATTTAATGTGCAAGATTTTTTACTAAATATCAAATATTATTATTTTTTTCAGAATTATCATGAATGTTGACTCATAAATAGTTTTTTTTTACATAATTTTGAATTATTAATGTTGTGATTTTAAATTTAAAAATTATAAAAAAAGTGTGGTTATTCTATTACTGTAGAATTAGTAGTAGGGCGGTTGTCTCATATGTTATATGATATTGCCATCAAGGAAAAAGAACTTTTGGCCTAATAGATGAAGGAGAAGATAATTTTTTAGAAGTCATGAATGCGAGTAATATATTTTATGATTTATCAGTTAGAGTAGATTTATTAAAATTAAAATTAATTGATTATTTCAAATAGATTTTTAGTTAGCATTTTTTTTAAACATTTTATGATCAATTTATACAGCGACGCAAGAAGAGGCAGCAGCTGCGTATGATATGGCAGCAATTGAATATCGCGGTCTTAGTGCGGTGACTAATTTTGATCTTAGTCGCTATGTCGACTTTCTTCGTCCCAACTCAGAAGGAAACAAAAGCTCAAATTATGAAACAAACTTGAGCATCCACAAACAAGAAAAACAAGAAGAACAACAAGATCAAGCAACATCATCTTCCACAGACCTTGGCTTCCTACTTCAATCATCAAAATTCGAGGACATGCTCAAGAGAACGATAACGACCGAACCACCAGCTTCTCCGCCTGAATCTGAAGACAAACCATCATCTCGATGTAGCTTTCCCGATGACATACAAACTTACTTCGAGTGCAATGACGATGGAAGCTTTGTTGAGGGAGATGATACAATATTTGGAGAGATCAATGCATTTGAAGCTCCTATTTTCCCATGTGAGCTTGATTTATGATTGTTCTTATAATTTTTATTTAGGTTTTATTTGAATATTTTTTTTATATATTTATATTAGTGTTCTTGAATTTCATATTAATTTGCATGGTTTAGTTGGTGTAAGAGAAAGGGAGAGTAGTTAGACTCTTTAAGAAGCTTTTCTATGATAAGGAAGATTTGATTTTATTACAGTTTTGGTCTTTTAATTTTTTTCTCATAGATAGGAAGGGATGTATCATTTTACAATTTGCAATAATAAAACATGATTAGTGATTAAACATACTAAATGTTGCATAAATTAATTTAAATTTATAAGATATTGTGCCTTTCTGTTCTTTAATTAACCATAGTTTCATGCAAGTGAATGAATTAATTAAGCCTCTACATAGGCTTATTTTTATTGGATCCAAATCATAATTCACAATAATTTACAAATCTTTTTTTTTTATTTGTGAATTTTTGTAATCCTAAAACCAATTCAACTTGATTGATTGAAAGCAATTTTATTAGAATTTTCTTCTTTTTTCGGTTGATGGGATAGTTGATTGTCTATAGCTAGGATATTTATTTAATGCAATGATTATTATTTTTCTGCTATTTTATTTGTAAGAAAAAAAAATTATCATGAAAATAATTAATTACATATTCTAAAGTTGATTTGATTCAATGCACATAATAGGAAAAAAGTTGTTTAAGAATATCCTTATGCATTTTGTCTTATAATGAGCTATAGAATCTTTGAATTTGTACTGAGATCAGTGTTGCATATAATATCCAATATTTGCACTAATTTCAACACAAATATAAGTGATTTGAAGCCCAATTTGATGCAAAATGCAAATAAATATCATTACTCAGAATTTTCCTCTTAATAGTGCATGTTCATAATTGAAATATGATCTGATTATTTAATTAAAATAATTTTTTTGTTAAAACCCACATAGGGGTCTATACATTAATTTAAATATAAAATTACAAGTCTTTAAAGAACCTGTTTGTTTTAGTTGAGTTTGAAAAATTAATTTACTTTAAGAAAATTTAATTTTGGAATTTCAGTTCTGAAATCGAATACGTCATTGTGAACAATATATCACCTCAGGAGGCGAATATATCATTTTCTAATGGGTTCGATAACAAAACTATTAGTTTCATCATGATTATCGTAGTTAAAGTCAGAGGAGAACTACATATGACCCTGAAGAGGTCAAAATGATGTTCAATCGAGCATCTGACTACGATAATCTAGATGAAGTAGCATTAATTTCATATTAAAAAACATGATGGTAAATAAAATTTTTTTTCCCAAGAGAACAGAATATCATTTATTATCAATCGTTTGAACATAATAATAATGATCGTTGTTGATTTTGATTTTCCCAAAAAAGATTAATTGATTTTTAAAATTGATCTAGGTTTTAAATCTCCTACGAGCATAAGTCCTCGTAGTTAATTATATCATAAGAAATCAAAAATTTTTATGAAAACTTTTGATTAAAATAATGACAGAAATTTTAATTTAGATATTCTCGAGGAGTGATATCAAAGGAGGTGAGGCAGAAATTTAAACTGGGATTGGGTCAAAATTTAAACATTTATTTTCAAAGGTCAAAAGAAGAAAAGTAAGAGGTGCTTTGGGATTTTGAAACATTTCTGAGGCAACCTATTCTATCCTATATGTTGGACTTCAAATTTTAGATTGAAGAGAAATTTCTAATTTAAGTGGATATTTTATTATAAAGGTGGGGATTATATTTCCAGAGAGTGGGGACTTATGATTTTGAGTACTCTGCCCTGAATCTTAAATTTAAATTGGGCAATAAACGATAGTAGCCCGAACATAGCTAATGCAGCGCAAACTCTAGACGTATCCCAGCCTGGATTGGGGAGCCGACTAACTACCTAGGCAATTTAAAAAACAATGTATATGGTCTTTAGTGAAAGAGTGGTGAGATGTTAATTAAATTTTGAGGAGTTAGAGCTGACATCTAAAGAGGATCTTAAGTTACCCCTTGACTTATGTAAGGTAATTGATGTTTGAGAAAATGTAATAAAACATTTTGACACTTTTAATTCATTTCTAATGCAATATATGCTGATTGATTTGATGAATGCATAAAGTGAATATGAAGCAATTTTAAAAAGACTTATAAATATATATATATATATTATTTAAAAAATTAATTAAATTGATTAAAATTTTAACTATTTAAATGATTTAATAAAATGATTAAAAATAATATTAATTATTTAATTTATTTTTATTTTAAAATTAGTTAGTAAATATTAATTTTTTATTTTATATTAATTATCATTTTTTTATAATTAAATTAATCAGTATCATTTTTTATTAGTATAATTAAATACTACTTAATTTTGGGTCAATATATAGTTTAAACATAAAAAATTGATATTAAAAATATATTTGCATGTCCAACAATTCGGTTGGTTGTTTGGAATTTTCCTCAACCCACCTGAGTTCGAATCACCTGGCAGGCGGGCTGGTGCGGGAGAGCGGGCTTTAGGGCAGAGTAGGCACGGGTGGGCTCCCTCAAGCGGGCTGGTGCGAGAGCTTGCTCGCGCCTAACCCGCCCTAAAGCCTGCTCTCCCGTGCCAGCCCACCTGCATGGGAGCGGGCTAGCGGGTGCGGGAGACTGAGCTTTCAGGCTGGCTGGGATGGGAGGGAGTGGGGTGGCGCAGGCAGGCTCCTGCAGGCATGGGAACGGCTGCCAGGCGAGAAAATGAGATTTTTTTTTAAATTATTTTTTTAATTTACTTATGATTTAATTTCGCCGGAAAGCCGCCGAAATTATTTTTCGCCAAAAAAAGCCACCAGAGTTTATTTTCCTACGCGTATTTTATCAGCATAATTTTTTTTTGCCGAAAAATCACCGATAAATTTGAAAACCACCAGAAAATGATAAATTTATGCAGGAAAAATCCACCGGTAATATATGATTTTTCTGTAGTGAAATTTTAATTTATATTTTAGTATAAAATATTTTATTCATATCCGCACGAGCCTCTGATCATATACAATTAAATCAAAATTAACATGCAAGAAAGGAAACTAGAAAAAAAGATAAGTTCTACTACACAATCAAAGTAAATCAATCAATCAATCAAATCAATTAAACAAATTAAAATTTTCATATGGCAAGTTCTAATTAATTACCACCCAGGGTCTGTAAAAATTAAAAGTGGTTTAGTACCACTGACAACCGCTCGGATTCTAATCCTAGGACTGACACAAGTGACTTTCTGTATGATACTCTTTTTCTTCTCTCCTTCTATAAGCTCCTTAGAATCATCGGATCCAGATATCCAATTGAAAAGAAATTCCTCCCCGAAGGGATGTTTTCATCTCCCTTTAGATATTAAGGTCATCATAACTTGGATCTCCAAACATGAGAGATCTCTCCCCTAAGGGATTTATCTAATCTTTGGATTCCAAGTTGGATGTAGTATCCTAACTCAAAGACCTTCTTTCACAACTATTAACTTAATCAAATTACATTACATCTCAATAATAAAAGAAAATTCAAAATCACATGCATAGTTCTCCTAAGCAGTTGTAATTAACAATAACATCTCAAGTAGTTATATATTTTTGTATTAAATTAAATTTCTAGTCACACTTGGCCATGCTTTTTAATTTTAAGGGGGACTTGGCATTTTACACCTGCAAAAAATATATTAATTTAAATCACTTAATTTTTGCCTCTTGACTTAGTCCTATATGAGTGTGACCACCTGTAGAAAATCCTATGAGCAACTAGATTGTTCCTAACCTAAGGGTAATCTATTGTCCATCACATTAATCAATTAATTTAATTAACAAAATGCAGTGAAAACCATGAAACATTTGGCACACATCATCAAAAAAATAAACATAGGCCTAGCCTAGATCTAGTGTAGTTGTCATAGCAAATCATCTAAAGTGTGAGCAGAAGGCTGTGTTGTTTGGATATGTCATAGATTGGGTAATTTATTAAGGTTGTCTAGTATTTAATTTGTTGAAGGTAAAGAGAAGTTTTATTTAAGTTTAAGTATTTGTATTTTAAAGTTGATTTTTAGAATATATTTTAAGTATTAAATGATTACCACCTTTATTTACACTAGTGTTGTGAAGTTTATTTCACATTCCTTAGGATTAAGCTAATAGCCTCGTAGATCTGGATTACTAGTGATAACCAGTTTGATTAAGTAAATTTAATTAGTCAAAAATTAATAAATTAATTATTCTTTAATTAAATTAATTAGTTGTTGATTTTAAGGATTAGGGTTGATTTAAAATTTTCATCAATCAATTTATGGTGTTTTTATAGTGGGCTCGAGGTACCATTGTTGAATTTAGGGGTGGGGACCCTGGGGGGCAAAAAAGAAACATTTTTTTTCTCCTTATAAAATTAGGCAACCATTGGCAGAATTTTTTTTTCACTACCTCACTCTCTCTCTCTCTCTATTACCATTTTTTGGTTTACTATTGGCAGCCTTTTGTTATTTTGTACTTGCTACTAGTTATAACCCTCTTTCCACTCTCTCTCTCCCATGAGGGTGAGATGATTTTAAACCTTTTTATTTAGTTTCCACTATCTATCTTATGAAGTTAACTAATTTTTTTTGTTAATTTTTATTAGACCATCTTAAACCTTTTTTTCATTTATATTTCTCTCTTTATTTATATATTTTCCCATTTTAATGATTTTTCTTTACATTACCAATTTTTTTAAAATTAAAAATTTCATCAATTTTTTAATTATTTTAAAATATCTAATTTCTCTTTTATAGGAAATTTATATAATTAAAGCCAACAAATTACACTAGAGAAATGTTATAATATTTAAATTTAAATTAAGTAGTTTAAAATATGCTAATTATTATTTTTTATATATTTTATATTAATAAGATGAAAATTTTTTATATATTTATTGCTTATTATAAAATATTTTTTTTTAATTATTTTTGTATTTAAATTAGATATGAAAACCTTATGTTAGATATTAAAAAAATAAAATAAAA